TGGGCAGGACCCGGTTTGATCCTCAGCACCACATAAAAATAAAGGCATTGTGTTGTGTTCATCTACACCTAAAATAATAAATTTTTTTAATTATTTTTTTTTAATAATATGGTGCTTTGACTCTCCACTTCAGGATCTTGCCAAATTGCAAGTTCTAATGGTGGTGGGGAGGGAAGATGGGGAGTTGTTTAATGAGTAAAGAATTTCAGCTTTGCAAGATGGAAAGAATTATGGAGATTGATGGTATGACTTTGTGTACATACTCGACACTACTGAACTGTACACTTAAAAATGGTTAAGGGCTAGGGATTTATCTCAGTTGGTAGAGTGCTTCCCTCACATGCATAAGTCCCTGGGTTCATTACCCAGCACAACAAAAAAAAAGGTAAAGAGGGCTGGGATTGTAGCTCACCGGTAGAGTGTTTGCCTAGCATGTGTGAGACACTGGGTTCAATCCTCAGCACTGCATAAAAATAAATAAGGGTAGTGTGTCCATTTATAACTAAAAAAAAATTTTTAAATGGTTAAGAGGGTAAATTTTCTGTTGAGTGTATTTTGCTACAATCTAAAGAATTTCCTAAAGGGAGGAGTCATTAAGATAGATTTTCTGTTCTTGAGTAGGTCCTTATGACTGTAAAGAGTCCCAGCTGTGTCCCCATTTCACCAACATACACAATATTTGACCATGATGATCAAGAAAGCTTTTCTTGTGTCAAGTGAGGGTTGAGGAGAATAGATTCTGATTCAGTTAGTTTTGGGTGGGGGCTGAAATTCTCCATTTTTCACAAGTTCTTAGGAAATACTATTGCTAGAACAGAGAAGACTCTAGATAACTGTGAAAGATAAACTCTTGGGGAGAGGCTGAAGAATGTTGGGTGTTCGATATCCTAAGTTGTTACTCCAATCCAGTCCATTTATGCTATTGCTCTTTTCACCTATCAGTCTCTTAAAATTGGAAACTTACCTTTTACACATGGCTTTTTTCTACACATTTCCAGACAGAACTAAAATTTGGGGTCTAGGAAATAAACTACAGTAGGACAAATAAGAGAAAGGAGCTGAGATGGATAAGGATAATTTAGCAACATGCAAGTTAATTTGCAAAATCACCCTGTAAGTTATTACAGAAAATAAGAGTTACTTCCTACATTATGTTTGAAAAGTATAATTGATCAAAGGAAGAATAAGGAAATTTTATGAGCCAAATCAATTACTGGGTTGATCTTTTAGCTCAGAAAATTTGTCAGATTCATACATGAAAATTCTTCTTGAGCACAAATAAAATGGGATGGGGCCACTTTATTTATGATTGCCTGAACTTTAGCAACGGGCTACAGCTACAGAGATCAGAGTCTAGCAAGTACTAATTTCTGACCCTGTTAAAATATTCCCTCAAGCTAGGCATGGTAGCACACACATAAAATCCCAGCTGTTTGTGTGGCTGAGGCAGGGGGATTATAAATTCCTGAACAACTTAGTGAGACCCTGTCTCAAAATAAAAAGGACTGGGGATGTAGGCTCAGAGCTAGAGAATTTGCCTGAAGGTGCTGGGTTCAATCCCTAGTACTATAAATAAACAAACAGATAAATCAGAGTGGGCATATAGCTCAGTGTTTGCCTAGAATGTATGAGCCTTGGGTTTGATCCCCAGGTATCTTACACACACACATACACAAAAAAAAGTTCCCTCATCAAATTGAGCTTTTGGCATTTGTAATATACCTGTGCTGTTGGCAAACATGGTCCAAACACCTCCAACAGAAGTCTGTCTTCTCTCACTGCTTTTTCAAAGTCTTCAAAAGATACCTTGCCATCGTTGTCATAATCCTAGACAGGAAGATGATTTCTTGATAAGTGATATAGAGCCATTTTACATTTTGCCATGGAAAATAGCTGTTTAGACTAAAAGGTTCACCAAGTAAAGCTGTAAATTCACACTTTTGAAGACATTATTTACCTAAATCAGAAGGTACTTATTATTTATGGATACCACTTAATTTTATTCCTATTATTCTAATAGGCATATCCAAGTCACCTTAGCAATATAAAATTTAGCCTTATCCTTAAAATTACACTTGAATTGGGGAAATAAGAAAAAATAGAGRAATTCTATTATTTTACTCCTTTTGTGATGAAATAGGTGAAGCAGAGCAGATTTTTCAAGCTTAGTTTTTTTTGTAGCACTTGTTCCTCAAAAGATCTCTTAGTTGGGAGCCTATTGGATAAAAAGGATAGAAGTGAAGTTGCTTTGTTATGGATCAGGTCACCAGGAGTTACAGCAGTAGCTGCTCAGGATAGACTGGAGTTATGAGATGAAGCCTGCAGATCACTGCTGGGTTTAAGGGTGGTTGAGATCTGGATAGGTAGAGGAGCCACCTGAATTGACAGCAGGGGATAAGTCAGTAAAGCTTTCATGGCAAGGCTTAGGATATATTACTATATTGTGCAGGTAGGGAATAAGGAGAACTTGTGTGTAGATTATGGGTGCCTTTAACTGATTAATTAAGTTGGGTCAGATGAGATGAGTCCTTGTTTTTTCACTTCTGGGCATGACTTCGTCAGGGTTGCTGAGAGTTTTTAGTTGTAGATGAACACAATACCTTTATTTCATTTATTTATTTTTATGTGCTGCTGAGGATCAAACCCAGTGCCTCACACATGTTAGGCAAGTGCTCTACAATTGAGCTACAATTCCATCCTGGAGTCTTAATCTAGAGAAAAATTTGAATACATTGTCAAAAAAAGGTTTATTGCAAAAACACTTCCTTGGAAAAAAGAAGGGGGTGAGTGGTGCTGGGGAAGCTACTGTCTCTGAAGAAGTGATCTACACTCAGCCCTTGCAGCAGATTCAGAGTATTTCTGAAAGAAATTTCTGAAGTTTGCCTTAATAGAATCCTTGGTTGCTTTCCTGAGTTTCAGAGTAATGTCAGTGACCTGGGCCAGTGCTGCCTTGGATTCACAAAACCTTACTGTATCCAGTTTAGGGTGACAGAAAAGTATAGAAGTCAGTATGTCCATAGAAAAGAGCTACTATTGGTTTTATTGAAAGATTAATTTTGTACCAGGTTTTCTAATGTGACCTTAGGTAAACCTTTTTATACTTCAGTTTTTGTCATCTGCAAATGGAGATAGGATTGTTTTGAGTATAAAAAGAATCCATACATTAAAGTTCTCTGGAGAGTCTGGTATATATAGTAGGTATTCTATAAATATTTTTATTTTTGTTATTTTGTTGTAATGAATACTTAGATAGATTGTAGGGGAGAGGTCATGAAGACAAAATAAAGTGGCACCCAATTTTACATGAACTGAATCTGGCCTCCCCCTAAATTAATGAGGTTTTACTAATAGTAAAATATTTTAAAGAATAAAGTTAATATTTATGGGCTGGGATTGTAGCTCAGTGGTTGAGTGCTTGCTTTGCATGCGTGAAGCACTGGGTTTGATCCTCAGCACCACATAAAAAATAAATAAATAAAACAAAGTGTGGGAGGCCAAACTAGCACTTGACCACGTTTGTCTCCTCTTCTAATTGATTTGGCATCTCGGTTACTCTGTGATCTGGTTGCCTGGGTAAGCCAGACAGTAGTCCCGATCTTAAGGGTCCAGTGACTGTGTCTCGTGCATGAGCRTGCCTTCCTACATCCCCATGGCATGGAGCTATGCTCACCTGTTTTTATAATATTACCCCTTGCCCTGTTTGGGTTGGAATGTTCCATGGAAACACCCTTTTTTGTGTCCCCTTCTCTTACTCTGCCCTCGGGTGTGGCCTTCCTAGATGTCAGTCAACCTGCTGACAGTGGACATCATGAAGCTAGACTCAGCCCTCTGAAACCTGACCCCTTGCCTCATTTGAATGGCTTCTCCTCAATAAAAGGGGTCAGCACATACTCGCTCTCTCTTTCTGCGGACCCTTAAGGTCAGAGGAGCCATCACAGCACCCCCCCCCCAAAAAAAAAAGTATTTCTGTCTCTTGCGTGGTTATTTCACGCAGCCCAGTTCCCCTGGAGTGACCCCTAAGTGTTTTAGTGGCATTTAACTAGGCAAATGGCGTCCCGAGTGGGCGAAATGTTTGAGTGTTTAAGTCGCTGGGAAAGTGACAACAAAGATTTAGTGTCCATCTACAATTAAAAAAAAAAATTTAAGTTAATATTTAGGACTGGGGTTGTGGCTTAGTGGTAGAGTGCTTTCATTCCATTTCTGCTCATCTATCAGCCAGACACTTTTAGATGAGCAGAGATGGAATCATGAGATGAATAGAGCAGAGAATAAACAAAAAGACCTGACGTTCATCAATATAATTTAAGGAAATTAAATTTCTTAAGCTTTATGCAACATCTTCTTGATTGAGTATATGCATTACAGTTTTTCAATCTTACCATTTTCTTCAGTGCTATCTCTACCAATTCTTTTACTCCTTCATCATTCTCTTCTTCAGACGATTGTTGATACAGACTGTTCTTCAACATGTTGAATATTTCCTCTCGAGAAATGTAACCATCTCCATTCAAATAATAAACTTCAAAACAGACTTTTTAAAACATAAGAAGTTTTAAGACTTGGATGAGAACAGTTAAATGTCATTAGTCTTCTCCTTAATTATTTCAACATAAGATACCAAAAGAGAAAAACAATTTATCTGCCATATTATTACTGATAGTAATATGGTAGGAAGTTATGTGGTAGGAAGATTTTAGAATAAAGAATCTTTGTTACATGTCTTTAGATATTTTAAGCAATTCATTTCCTTGAAAATTCCATTTAAAATTATTCCTATTCTCTTTCCAGGGTTCCTCTCCCCAAATCCTGATGCCAGAGGAGTAAAACATAGGAAATAAACATCATACCAACAAGACAGACTGGAGCCGCTATTAGGAAGAGAATTGGGAGACTGTCCTCTTTGTGACTCTAATGTTATTTTTAATAAGTAGGTGGCTTCACGTATAACACTCCTATCTTTGGGCTTGCACTGTCTTCAACCATTTTCCTCTGCTCAGTTGTCTAAAACAACTCTAACAGCAGAGTATTAGTGTCCAGTGGTTAGTGTGTGTTTAACTTAATCCTGTGCCAACCCTCATGTTTTCTTTGATGAAAAGATGAGGAATGGCCTCAAAATAACACATGAACAGACCCACATCAGGGGCTGAGCCCAGAAGCATCCTCAGAAGCCTCAGCCCTGCCAGCTGATCAGAGTTGACACAAGCCTGACCCTTAGCTGCTGTTCTTAGCCTGGGCTGTAAGCCAAAGAATCATTCTAGGGACATTTGAGCATTATGGAACCAGGGAAGGAAGTGATTGGGGCTCTAGGACTGGGGACTCTTTCATGACCTTACAAATAGGCCACCCATTTCATCTGGTCTGTTTTATTTTTTCAAACTGTCTTGAATAACTTTTGCAAAGTTGTTATAGACAATACTGATTTCATATTTTTAAATGCATAAGCATTCACTACAAAATTGATGATATATATTATTAAGGCAGTAATTCCATCTTACATTTCAACTTTTCTTCAAATGTCCCTCGAAGAAACACTGACAATCCTTTTACCCATTCTTCCACATTTATGGAGTTATCTTTGTCTTTGTCAAATGCAGAAAAGACTAAAACAAAGAAAAAAGAATGTTGGTATGTTGTAATTGAGATGTTTTATAACTTAACTGTGTGTGTGTGTGTGTGTGTGTGTGTGTGTGTGTGTGAGAGAGAGAGAGAGAGAGAGAGAGAGAGAGAGAGAGAGAGAGAGAGAGAGAGAGAGAGAGAATAGATAGAAAAACTCCCACATTGAGGAGGAAAAACGGTTTTGGTCCAATCACCCAGAAAGGGTCAAAATTATTGGAAATGTGTTTTCCCCTATATACTTAAAACAAAAAGTCATTCTGTTTCATGAGAAAGAATGTGCTTCATTTTTTATGTTTTATACAGTCACGGTGGGGCCAAGAAGACAAACAATGTAGCTAATAAGTGACATAATTTCTATTCCTAAAAAACGGTGAAAATTTGTTCCTACGATGCTAGGTAATCTGGTGATAAAAAGTGGTGGAAATTTTGCTCTAAAAGTTTCCAAAACTACTTGAAGGTAAATTATTTAAATAATACACTATTTTAAAAATTGCCAGTGAAATCTTGAAATTATACTGTAGAAGATAAATTAAAATGTTATTTACTCTTTTGGAGATGATAAATATGTTAATGATTTTGATTATGGTAATTTTTTTACAGGTGTATACATATGTCAAAACTTACAAAACTGTTCACTTTAAAGATCTGTTACTGAAACTAATTGGATTACATTATTTCTTATTTCAAGTAATATAATTTTTGATTTCTAATGAAGAGTCATTATCATTTTTATACTGATACATTCTCCATTTTTTTGAGGAAAAAGAGGTCAATGAATAATTTGTCTATAATATATAACCCCCAAAACAGCATGATTAAAAGCCACAAGATGCTTCTCTTTTGAGAAATGGTATTGCTAGCTTATTAATTTATTGCTGATTATTTCTCAAAGCTATACAGCCATGGAGATATGAAATTCTGAAGTGAATTTGTATTAAAAAAAGCATCTTTGGGGCTGGGGTTGTTGGCTCAGTGGTAGAGCACTTGCCTAGCATGTGTGAAGCTCTGTTTGATCCTTAGCACCACATAAAAAATAAATAAATAAAAAATAAAGGTATCGTATCCAACTAAGACTAAAAAAAAAGGCATCCTCACAAATGGATGAAATTGAAGGACATCATGTTAATTAAAATAAGCCTGACACAYAAAGATAAGTAGTATCACACATTTTCTATCATATGTGAAAACTAAAAAAAACCTCCAAATCTCAAAGTAGAAGAGATGCTATATTTGGGAAGGGGATGGTATTGAAAGAAGGAAGGGTGGAGGAGGGAGAGCAAGAGGTTGTAGAAGGGGTGGTGGTAGACATGATCAAGGCACAATATGTTCATATATGAAAGTGTCACAGTGAAACCCATTCATTTGTACAATTAGTATGAGTTAATAATAAAATTTTTTAAAATAGTAGTTTTTAAAGAAACCATCCTCATGGGGCTGGGATTGGGTTCAGTGGTAGAGTGCTTGCCTAGTAAGTGTGAGGCACTGGGTTCAATCCTCAGCACCCCATAAAAATAAATAAAATAAAGATATTGTGTTCACCTACAAAAAAAAATGTAAAAAAACCCATCCTCACAAACAATTACCTATTTGGCATTGAAAAAAGTTCAGTTTATGATGAAAATTGAATACATATTATGTAGTTTCCATTCAGATTGACATGTTTTAGTCTGTTAATGACTTCTTACCCCTATCCATCAATGTATCATCAGTCATTCCAAATATGTTGTGCAGGATCCCTCGAAATTTGTTACGATCTAGCCCAGTATTTCCAGATTTCCCACCAGTTCTTCCCACCACGCTGTAAAAGAGTCTTATGAGACATTCTACTTCACTTCTTTTGACTGTAAAGTGAAAATACAAATACAACTTAGATTTAATCATTGAATTATTTAACCTAATTAAATATATTTTACTAAGCTACTATTTTGTTCCTTTAATGCTAAGTAGTCTGAAGATAGGGGGAGAAAAGAATGATACAGACTTCTTAAGAGCTTACACAATTAASGTGGGCCTAACTCAGAAATTCTTAAGACAGTATGTAACTGCTAAATTATGGAATATAATGATCACTAACATAGACATGTAAAGAAAGTGAAATTGGTTTGGTGGAGGGGTGTTGGGCCATTTTCTTTCTTTCTTTTTCATCTTCTTTTTTTTTGAGAGAGAGAGAGAGAAAGAGAGAATTTTAATATATATATATATATTAAAATTATATATATATATATAAAAAATATATATATATTTAGTTTTCAGCAGACACAACATCTTTCTTTGTATTTGGTGCTGAGGATTGAACCTGGGCTGCATGCATGCCAGGCAAGCGTGCTACCACTTGAGCCACATTCCTAGCCCCGAGTTGGGCCATTTTCATGGGAGAAGTAGACTTTGMACTGGGCCTTGAAGGATGTATATAGTAATTTATTTAGGAAGAAGTGTGTTGAAGGCAGTAAGAAGTGAATTTTATGGGAATTGAATAACAGTTAATAAAAGAGGTAGAATTAGAGTTGAGATTGAACATGTCTTAATGGGAGTTGGGAAGAAGTGATAAGGTAGCAGAGGATTGGCTGATGGGAGAAGGGCCTTTTTTTTCCCCTTCTTTTTGATAACAGAGATTGAACTCAGGTATTCAACCACTCAGCCACATCCCCAGCCCTAATTTTTATTTTATTTAGAGACAGGGTCTCACTGAGTTGCTTAGCACCTCACTTTTGCTGAGGCTGGCTTTGAACTTGCTAGCCTCCTGCCTCAGGTTCCCTAGCTGCTGGGATTACAGGCATGCACCACTGTGCCCAGCGGAGAGGATGTAGGGGGAAAGACACACTCATACATTGCTGATGGATCTGCAAATTGGTGCAACCAATCTGAAAAGCAGTATGGAGATTCCTTAGAAAACTTGGAATGGAATCATCATTTGACCCAGCTATCCCACTCCTTGGAATTCAGATACTTAACAGCTCCTGTCCCTAACCCATGAAGTCTWATCTCTGGATTCACAATTCTGACAGTACATCACAATCACCTGTGTATTTCTTCAAAGCAGCATTTTACTAAGTCTGGAGCAAGACCTGTGTATGTGAATATTTAAAAACTTCAGGATAAAAAGGACAGATCTGGTATTCACAAACTCCTGTTAATTTTTGGCAGCATCTCAGGTTCCCTTCCAGTTTTTCTGTCCTTATTTCCACCATCTTGGCCAAAGCCCTGTCCTGTCACTCCACTCCTGGCTTCAAGACTTCTCACTTTTCTCCTTTGATACAACTTTGTCAGATGAATTTTCCTAAACCATTTTGACTACCCCTGATCTCTTGTTGCAAAATATTTACTGGCTTAACCCCAAAATTCTCAATCCCTGGGATATAAGAGTCAACTGAGCCCTTGTTTAAAAGTTGATTCTTGGGCTTACTGTTAGTAATTCTGATTTAGATCTGGAACAAGTCCTAGGAACCTGCATAGTTAACAAGCATGGGGCAGAGAAGGGGTAGATTCTCTGAGGTGGTCCAAAAATGAACACTATGAGAAATACTGCTCCTGTTCAACAAATATTTTTCCTAACTTTGGTAGGAGTGATCAGAGATACATTTCACAATATATATGGATTTTGGTAAGGTATCTGACAAACTCTTTCATTCTTATAGATATCTAGCACAATGGTAGGCTCTCAATAAATATTTGCCAAGCAAATGATAAAACACTGTCACTTGTAAATGGAAGTAATTGTCAAATTCAGGACTTAAGTTGGAGAGGTGAAGAAATATGTGAAATAAGAGTCACTTCTAGATGCCAAATGATCAGTTAAATAAAGCAACATGAAATGATTAGGTTTTGAAAGTCCCCAGTGTTATCTAATACATGGAGTGAAAATTTGGAACACTTCTAGAGACTCTTAATACATCTAGGGTGGTTTTACATTTTCAATTAAAACCTTTTTGATTATGATGGTATACTTAATCCTGTAATTATTATATTTAGTTATACTTGGAATAAGAAGTATAGTCAGGCTTAACTATAGAACATGTAGGCCTAGCATACAATGAAAAAGCAAGTCTTTTGTTCAGAAACTGTCAGCAACCGAATATTAAATTATAAATGGGGCCCAGTGAGAACGTACACTTTGCATACCTGTGAGGCCATACCCTTGAAGTGATTATTTACCTGTTTCCCCCACTAGATTTAAGGTAATTATTTGGAAGGGGAAGTGTTGAGAGCCACAGCCGAAGGGGCCCCAGCAAACTGAGATGTTGAGAGCCACAGCCAAAGGGGCCCCAGCAAACTTCCAGCTGCCAGCAAACTTCCAGCTGATGATTGGCTCACAGCGGCCCCAGCAACATCTAGCTGATTGGTTCCTCTGTGGTGATGCTCATTGGGGAACTTTTTTGGCTCTGCC